CCTATTTAGCATACGGGCCAATGGTCATCAGTTCTAGAGCGAAGTAACTTACTAGTAGGAACTATAGTACGGAATACTAGGTACATGTAGGCGCTACAACAGAAATTTCATGACAGTTCTAAATTTTAGGTGGCTCTCGAAAAAAATGTCCTCTCCTCTAATATTCAATGGGGATAATGTAATTTATTGCCTTAATTGCAAAAAATTACAATCACTGCGTTGTCTATGCCATTTGGACAACGTCTCACTGATTTTTCCATATGCTCCCTAGTCAGTCAACGCCGATGCCGCTGACGAGGCACAACCTCCTTTCATCCACGCGTACTGCGCACTGAGCCGACAGGAGCTAGAATAGCAAATTCAGAGCCTCTGATTAATCAGTTAGTTGGATGGTTTCGATAATACCTTTTCAGATGAGTCTTGCGTAAGACAGTTTTGTTAATGCCAAATTTTGACTGACTTACGCAATACGTAACTTTTTGAACGTAAGTACGAAAAGTTACGAGTACTTAGCGAAGTTTCGCTAATCTCTGCCCAGCTCATTTTTCTCAAACCCATTGGATGAATTTTGATTTATATACATATTTATATCAGTTACTCTACGAATATCAGTTTTCTAAAGCAACGGAGATCCATAATAGATACTTTATCCAGCTTAAACTGGTAAATATTTATCAGGTTGATTCAAGATCGCCATCCCCACTCCGAGTATTATGGATAAGGTTACTCACTCGTAGCTCGGGAACTGAGCCCATCACATTATCTACGTTTAATGCATGCAACTTCATTTAAAAAAACTTAAAATTGAATCCACTGGTAGATTAAATTTTCTCGCGGACTGTAGCATCGTAATATGAGAGAAGATATAAGTTAAAACAGAAATTTTATAGATAAAATTTAAAACAAAATAAATAACCCTAATGAATTAAAAAATGGAGTAAGAATTAACTATTTGAACAATTATTATTCACACAGCATTCTCATTAATTATTGTCGCAGACAGCATCAGTTAGTGAGGTCGTAGAACCCGAGTAAAACAGCTATGTGTTTTCAACAATTCGTTCAATTATTTAATGCAATTTTTCGCTGATTATGTACTAAATATGTCAACTAGCTCAATGCTTGTATATATTCAATGCGTAAAATGATTTTATAGCCTGTGCATATTATAATAATTTCTGTGATGTTACTGAACTTAGCTGGATAGGCTAATTGCGTAACTGCTGGGGCTGGATAAATATTAGTTTAGTTAAGGATGCAATTTCCTGTTCGAGAAATGAACTTTGCGCGTAATTTTCAGCAGTTATGGACATGACACGACTCAGCATTTATTATTAATAGTAAGTTTTAAGGCTTAATTTTGATAACTTATTATTGGAACCCATAACTGTTATAGCGGGAAGCAGTAACTGCTTATATATGTATGTTTATCACGCTAGATATATTCGTAGCATGTTGCGTAGAAATATTACGAAGCATCTGTATTTCTACGCTCGTCTCTCATTCCTGTACACGTTGATCGTGCCCCACATGTGCTTGCTGCCGAACACGTGTAATGACATCAAAATAAGCGTAAAATGTTGTTTCAATTTGATGATATATTAAAGTTGTGTCGTGTCATCTTGAAACTTGTAGAAGCGATGAGGAAAAATTATTGAGTCCCGCTCAATTAATAGCTGTAAATTAGCATATATACGACTAATGGCAATCCATTCCATGGAACTAATAACAAAAATTATTTTCCAACTGTGATCATTTTCGAAATACGAATAATGAACATTATTTGCACGCTTAAGAACTTCACTCATACATATATGGTGTATTTGTAAAATTTAATAAATAATAATTATTAATAGTTAATAATTTTTCCTCGTTGGTTCCCCAGTTTCAAGATGACACAACACAACTTTGACGTTTCATCAAAATAAAATAATATTTCATGTTCATATTGACGCCATCACACAGGTTTGGCAGCAAGCACATGTCCGGCACGACTAATATACAATGCAGAGAGGAGACGGGCTCTTCGATGTAAATAAGTATCATTTACTACACGCACCATGCAAAGACCAGCGCTTGCACGATGCTTACACTTGACCGAATTCGCCTCCCACCACCGCGGTGCTCGCGGGCGTCAAAAAAAATAAAATATTTTCATAATAAATATCTACACACTAACATCATAAGTAGACAATGCTGTTCATCCGTAACGGCTGAACATTACGTGCAAGGTTCGATTTTTTTACATCCCTAACTAAACTATTATTCGCTCCACACTGCCAGATATTCAAGTAGTCTATCCAGCTAAGTTCATCATTATTGAAATTATTGTAATATACACAGGCTATAGAATAATTTTACGCGTTGAAGATTTGCAAGCTTTGATCTAGTAAACATATTTGAAATATTATCAGTCATAAATTATATTGAATAATTGAACGAATTTTAATAATAACACATAGTTGTTAACTCGGGCTCAGAGACTTCAATAAGTGACGATATCTGTGACAATAATTAATGAAAATGCTGTGTTCAGAAGTTCAATGATTGTTCTATTAATTAGTTCATAATGTATATATACTTCATTAGTAGGATTTATTTGGTTTTAAATTTATCGATGCAATTGCTGTTTTGACTTTATATCTCCACTCATATTACGATGCTGCAGTCCCAGAAAAAAATTAATATACTAATTGATTCCATTTTAGGCATTATTTTTGAAATAAAAGTGAATGCGTTGAGCGTTGAAAGTTTGATGTGCTCAGTTCCCATCTATGAGTAACCTTATCACCTTATCCATATCAATTGAAGTGAAAATTTAGGGATGAATTCTGTTAAAAAATATGGACGAGTCTACGTCAGAATACGATTCTTTAAGAAGTTTCCTATGCCCCCGAAAACGGAATAAATTCCTAGAGTAACTAATATGTTTTAAAATAACCTCCATCATCTATAGATTTCGAGGATGTGACTGGTTGTGTAGGAATATGCATCACAAGAAAGATGATATAATACAGTCTAAGGAGAACTGGGGTGATTTATCATGAATTTAACAGAAGTGACCTTGGTGAATTCATTCGCAGTAAAGGATTTAGTTAAACTCACACAATTCAATAATAATACACGATGCCAGACGGAATCAATCGTACATCGCTCATTTTTTCCTAACACTCCATCTGAACAACATAAATAAAAACTAGGCTTAAGGATGTCTTCGTAATACATTCTTTTTAAGCAAGTTGACGCCTTTTCGTATAATAATATCACACCACACCCTTGGTTTTATTCAAGAATACGAGATCGAAATTCTTCAAGTTGCGTTAGGAGCTATTATCTTCAAAAGAAAATTCGCTTTTAATTTAATAACATATCAAATGAATAATGTGGTTACTTTGTAATACATATATATATGGAAAATATTCAATAATAATCATATAACAACAATTATCACAATAATAACCACCACCGCATGTCATCACAACTCAGCAACAGACATCACTCAGGCAGACGATGGACAGCGTGACACGGGAAGTAGTCTCAGCGCTTTTTTATTTACATCTTCCCATACTTGCGGTGAATAAAGTTATTGATCTGAACACGCCGAGTGACTGAAACAATCAGCAAGATTAGATCAGTGAGTTACGGGTTCGACATCCAGATCTCTGGGAAAATTCTGAGCTAGCAAGAATGTGCGACAGACCATCCATGGCCCAGTCTTCAGGGTTGACACCACGGTGTTATTATTATTATTTTATTGTGCAGGTGATGACAAATCAAACTCTTTAAATCGATTCCAACAATCGAATGAGTTCCACGCATGTGAATTATACCAAAGGCTGGAATGAACGAGACGTAAAATATGAAACGGATGAACATTTCTTATTGATCTACAAAATGAATGTTAATTTTTCATTAGGCAAACACCACCGAGTGTACTTACCAGACACGTGAGCTGTCGTGGCCGAGTGTACTTACCAGACACGTGAGCTGCAGTGGCCGAGTGTACTTACCAGACACGTGAGCAGCAGTCACACAACGCGCTCTTTTCGGAAAAGTTCAAAACTCGTCGATGGAAGTCCACTAATGTAGCCGAATATGCGATCAAATCAATCAAGTGATCACAGTCCCGATGATGGTTTTAGATGTTTTCGTGCATGGGGCGTGAATACAGCTTGCCAATCATCGTAATTTACCAGTTATTGGTTCCTGTTCTTTACCTGGTTCTCCTCCGCCGACAAACCAATTATGCAAATGGTATTGAAATTATTGATTTTGTATTGTGACTTTACCCTATATACAGTATATATTTGTTCAAGCTAAAACGCGATTATTAATAACTCGATTCATATATTCACATGTATACAGTTAATTCGAATTGGTATCTACATCGTTTTCAAATTATTTGATCTCTTTTAAGAATACATGAAATCATCAGCGGATATATGTATCATTTTAACCCTATTCCATCCATTTAGAAAAGCTTAATTTATATGAAATTTACGGCTTTGAGAAGTTAAGAGATAATAATGAAGAAAAATATTTCATAATTTTATCTCACAACACGACATTAACCTTGCGTCTAAAAGACAATCCAGCAGTTTAAATAACAGACGTTCTCGCATGTTTTTCTGGCGGGCCAGAAGTGGGCGAACGTCTGCTAGGCCCAACTGGACCGACCGCTTCATTCTTCTACTAGACGAGGTCTCGTGCGCGTGTTGCTTCTCCAGGGAACGTAGCTCTTCTTAAACACACATGGCGCTTGATAAAAAGCCTAAGTTATTATTGTTGCTTATTATACGTCTTATCATAATAGTTTTACGTTGCTGATTATACGTCCAGTTGTGGTTACTGATTATACGTCCAGTTGTGGTTCCTAATTATAAGTTCAATTTTTAAAAGTATCGCAATTGTAAGAAGCACACAAGCAAGGATTGATTAAAAAAAATGGCTGATTTGTGTAATTCGAGTGGAAGTACGGCGATCCAACAACTGATCGGCAGAAGTTGCAGTTCAGGAAATAGCTCGAAATTCGTGCGAGAAATGGAGCTGCGCATGTGCAAGCGCATGGTGGAGTTTAAGAACGAAATGTCAGCTCTTGGTCCTGCAAGAAAAATGGAATTCAATCACAACGGGTGAGTCTTTCGGGAGTTTTACTTTAGCTCTCAGCTTCACGCTTATATAGTTGCTAGCAGTTGTATTGCTGAAGTTAACATATCATTTATTTGTAACATTTGCCCTAAACTGTAATTGTGAGCATTCGCCTCTGGTGTCCGTCTCTTGTTTTGTGTGGATTTGGATCACTGGCGCGCTTGCCCTAGAACAACATTCAGGCTTTGTATCGGCGGCTGCTACGCGACGCATATTCTTTTAATGAGAGCAAAGTGAGGTCAAGGAGGAGAGATATTAGAGCAGATGCTACAGGGAGCGAAAAGTTTGTGTTAAATGTATAATACAAATTTTTATCGGGGAAAGGAAATTTAGAAGGAAGAGTTATTTAGTCTATTATTACCATTTCCCATTTATTAAACTGTATTTCTAGATTGTTCCTACGACAGAACAGAAATCAAAATTTTCTGGTTATATTCTTACGCTGAACCCAAATATCAATTTGATATTGCTGTCTTAGCTCTATTTATTGAATTGTATTGATAGTTTTCATATTTACACGTTGGAGATTTAAGATGAGGTTTAAGACCAAATGCTTTAGCTGGCGGTGCTGCCAGGTTAAATTTATAAAATTGTATTTTTATAATATAAAGAATATAAAATAATCTAGGTCGATTATATGCTCGCTAGTTCACAGCTTCTGAACATTTTTTTGCTACTGCCCAAAAGTAATCGGTCATGTTTGAGGTATTCAGTTTACCCTGGTACCGCTTCTTCACCTTAGCCATCTCCTGATGAAAGCGTTCGCCATGTTCGTCAAACTGACTCTTGTCACACTGAATGTCCACCACGAGTTCGCGTATCTGTTACCCACTAATACACCTGCCTTGATTTTCCCCAGGCTATTCTTTAAGAATTTTTAATCAAATATTCAAATGCAGCAGCATCTAGATTGAGTGCTTCTGCAATATTTTTCACCAGACTAATTTTTAAATGTAGGGGTTGCAGTAGAATTTCACTGCGCTCAACAATTGCTGCCTGAATCGCATTCATGACACAAGGTTATTAAGATTGTCTTTCAGGCCATTCCCGTTTGATGTTATGATCCGCCCCGGTACTGTAACAGGTTGCTTTTCTATGCACCGCTTATATGAATGGTAATTAAGTTTGACCTGAGGGTTGGTTCGGTTAATTGTAACGGGATCCGTGGATATAGAGGAACAGCGTAAACGATTATAGAATATACTTTCAGGATTATAGTTCGGCTTTACAGTTTAGGATAATAAGTCTGGAGTGTATCTTCTACTCTGGCGTTAATTTAGGGTTACTGTCCTGGTTGATATGGACAGGAGTAAAGGCTTATACACGACTGTTCTCGGCCCAAGACTGAGGTTTCCTGGTCTGGGCAGAGCTCATATACTGTAGCTTCGCTATTTGACGTCACCAAGAGCGTGACTTGATAAACAGGAAAGGCTAATACAACTATACAAGAAAATGTTTATGAATATATCGCATGTGAAGGAGATTATCTTCCAACAAGGAAGATATTAATGAGGAAATATCCAGGGACGAATGGTATCAACATTGTCACCTGACAGTACCTTGACTATGCCACTCCCATAGAAAGCAGTAGTACCTCGAGCTGAAACCCTATATAGAAGTGCTTCAGCTTTCAAGACAACACAAATGACGTTCTCCTCCTTTGACCTTGATCAGGACTAGCTTCATAATGTCACATATAGAAAGTTACAGTGGGTGCAGTCGTTGGCGGACAACCAAAGATAAGGTAGTTTAAGCTACTCACGTTTTCAGTCAAACACACAGTAGCTTAATTATTAGCTGCTGTTACTCAAGTTCTGTGTAACGAATAGCACAAGTACCTCCGAAAACGCTTCTAAATTTGTTCGATACGTTCTATAACGGATAACTATTTGTGTATCTTATTTGCATTTGTGTACTATCAAACACACTGGCCTGGATTTCTTCAGTTGACAGTTTTGGTAATAAAAATATGATGTACATAACTATCACCATCGAACGTTTTTGCATCCGTAAATTGCTTCAGGACACTTAGTTTCAGGGGCATAGATAGCATTTACCGTGTTATTATTAATTGTATTCACTGTGTTATTATTATTTCTATTCACTGTGTTATTGTTAATTTTACCTTTTCTCCAGCTCGCGGTTGGTGCGTATCATCAACAACGAGGTTGAGGTGGTAGACCCGCGGACGCAACGAGTTGTTCAATCCCTCAGCAATGGAACAAATTTTCAGTGAGTACTGTACCTTGTGTTTTTTTTGCTACATCCAATTTATCCAATTTATTTATGGAACTATTTAAACCCTAAAAGGTGTTTGTGAGAGCCTAGCTGATTTACTATAAACTGCTTCTTTCGCATGAAAAACATGGAAACGAGCCTGCTGAGTAATACAATTCAAATATTGTAGTCTCAGCGTTGATTAGACCGGCCATGTTGGCCTGTCACCGATTCTCAACCACCCAGGCACCTTGCCAATTTTGACCAGAATTTTTACCAATAGTTGTGGCTTTTGAACCCCCAACTCGCAGCTCCAAACTTGGCGATCTTAACCACTCGGCCAATCCGATAAGTGCAGGAAGGATTCGTATTAAGAAATTGATAGCACTACCCTGAAATCAAATTGAAGGTTCTTTCAAAAAAATTTCCTTTAAATTGTTTATGCGAGGGAAAATAATGATGGCCTCAGGGGTGACTGACTTTCCGTTGCTTGCCAACAAATGATGATTTATTATTATTTTGAAGTAGGGTACGGAGTCATAAGATAAATTTTTGAGCAAAAGTCGCTGGCTCTAGAATTGAGTTACTTCCGAGTTGCCCTGATGGGACCCTGGCGCTGTTGAAATGATTAATTGTAACAACTTTTTAATTGACTGTAGTACTGTGCAAATAAATGGGGTATTTTATTTTAATTATTGGTGCGGATAGTAATAAAAATATAACTTAAAGGCTGATATGCATTGCAACAATCACAGCTGCATTGAAATAACGTATCGGTCGTTGCTCAAATGCCTTGATTTTAACCCTCTTCCGTCGTATGTCACTCTCCGGGACCATAACTTTAAACTTAAATTATACGTAAAGTATTAAGTGTAGCAACCTGAGGGGGTACGTTTGTACGCAACAGAGAATATTTCGAAGTAGTCGTACGTGGCGGTAACCATCAGTGCAAGTTATTTTGCGCTCACTAGCAACTTATCCTTTTTGGGAAAATAGGCTTGTGACAATATTGCACCGGTTACTCATGTCAGGCGGTAGAGGGTTAAGCTCTGCTCCAACTTCACTGGTAGATGATTGAGTTCTGCAAAATTTGCAGATTCACGGAGGTCGACCACGAACTGATCCTCAAATCCTGGAGAACTGATGCACACCACTCAGAGTTACAGCTTCGGGATTTACGGTTCCCGTCCTCACATGCCGGCAGGATCCGTTTCCCTGATCAGGCGATGTTACAATATGTTTACTCACAGAAGGATAGGTCCATCCTGAGTAACATGCTTGTCTCGCATGGATCAGGTCACTACCAATTTGAGGAGAAACGGAAGCTTGTGTTGCACAACAAATCAAGGTTAGTATTTTCTTGGATTAAACTGTAATTTATGCTGTTCTATTAATGTTTTGATCTTGTTTTCCGTTTACCACATTTTCATAGCCACCATGAAGAAATTATGAGGCTTATGTGAAAAATTTCTAATAATTTTCCACATACATTTTTGTATACCATCAAGCAGCAATGACTTAAATATATTTTTTGCAATCCCCGTTCGGAAATTCATCCGGAATCATCAAAAACTTTTGTTCGTGAAAATTTTCTTCGTTGATATGATGAATTCAGCACCTGGAATTTCTCATGCAAAATTTCAAGGACTTCTACGTGCACTGCACTCAAAACTAAAAGATTTTATTAGATTCTCATCCCCCCAAAAAATCTCCGACCGTTTTCCAGACGAGGATAATGTTTCTCTGATCCGTTGCAAGTCATTCAGATTCAATGCTCGAGGACTCACTCAAGTCTTGTGAAGAAAAATTTTCCAGCATTAATTTAATCTAGTGTTAAATATTTATATATCCTACATCCTAATATGTTCAATTTAATTACAATATTACTTGGAGAACAGTATGACTAAACTATATCATATGCATTAAAATGAGAATGAAATTAACTGATTAATCAAGGATTCTTACATCACCTAGACAATAAGCCTTAGAATTTCTTCTTAGCTTTTCGATGACGGGGGATAAGCCCCCTGCAAAGACCATCAGTGCCGTCTGGGAACGAAATAAAAACGCTATCTGTTTCGCTTTTGCACCTGATGAGAGTTGTCTGCTATTCCAAAATATCGACGACCCTGTGAACTTCCTTGCTGTCCACAATCCTTCCTTCCCGACTTTACCCAAAGCTCTTAAACAGTTTGAGGTGAGAGATTCATGGCATTCGCTGCATATGAAATTTTGTGCATTGTTGCGTTTCTATTATTTATTGCGATTATTTATTTTATTTGTTTGCAATGAAGGTGGAACACTTGGCTCACCGTGACTCTCCCGGCGGAGTAAGCTCCAAGCTAACATAATATATAATTTGATAGGCAGTGTGATGATGAATTGCTGAGATTTCCAGGAGCAAAGAAGTGTATACTTTTTCAGGGTGGGCAACTACAGGTCCAAGCTGTCAGTGGCACGATCCCTGGTAGTTCAGGAGTCGCCAACGAACTCACCCACATTGTTATGAACGATGTTCCTCCAGATGCAGGCGGATGTTTCAAGATCGCGCCCAGAGGAAACTTCGTCGTCGATTGGACGTGCCAACGCTCTTCGGTTAGTATAAAATAGTTCCCATTTTTTAACGCCGTATCTGCTTGATTTGACACCATGAATGTATTGGGGCTGGTTTTCTAAACATTCATTGCAGACAAAGAACACAAATGCCTAGTAAAAATTTTGCCAAATAGTCTCAACTGAATAGTCAAACTTTAGAACGAGAAGCCGAACCAATGCGCCGTTAAAGGTTCTCGAAATAAAATATGCCAAGTACTAAAATCTTCAAATTTTATTCATCAAACCTGTTGTTTTCGTGATTCAATATTTCAAGTTCCATGTTAAACTTAGTACAATAAAACGAGTAGATCTGCGGTGCCATGCACAATGAAGTGTTTTCATCCTCTGCCCAGTACAATGAGTATAGGTATGAGTGGGTTGACTCAACATCCTTGTTTCCTCCTGATGTATTGACTTAACACTTACTGTTTTTATACTTAGCGTGCAATCAAGTGCAACAAATTTAAAAGTATAATTTCCATGAACCATTTTGCGAATCAAACGTGAGGTTGCATCTGACTTCCACTGTTGCTGTGCAGAGATTGAACACCTACAGCTTCGACCACGACGTCCCGACGTCTACATTTCACCACAACCCTCCAATTCTGAACTGCAAGGCGCAATTTACTCTCTCAAGAAAATGTGATGGGCTCTCATGTCTCCCTTTTGTTCTCAGCATCAACGGTCAAATCGCTATCGTCAACGATGCCAATAGTAACATAAATTTTTACCACTTGCGAGCACCGATACGATCTGAACTCTCCATTAATTTAAAGCCTTTCCACAAGTTTAATTCCAAGACGACTCCTCTGAACTCCATGGCACTAAGCCCAAGCTTTGACGTTTTTGTGACCAGTAGTTTTCATGATTGTGCGCAGTGGTATCACCCAAGATTTTAATTTAAATGCATCATCTACTGAAGAAATCATTAGACGATGTAAAACTCAACAGGCTCGGTACTTGATCAATGTCCGTTGACTAACTGTTTTCATATGGTTTGTGTTTACTGTATAATTTTGATGAAACTCTATGAAAGTTGCGTCTAAACTCTGGGATCTGTTAACAACTGGAGGCAAGTTATCAATTTTTCTTGGTAATCAATTTTTCTTGGTTAATGAAGAGCAGTGTAGTAGAAGTGTAGCTTTGTGGGTTAGAACCTCTTATGGTGCCCAGCAAATCAAGTTTTCTGCAGAGCATCAGTCAGCTGGAGAATCAGTGTGGTGCGAATTTTCTCTCAAAGGCAAAGATAGCCTCCTCATAGGCGTCGTTTATAGATCATCAAACAGTTCCTCTGATAACGATAAAATACCAAACAGTCTTTTACCGAGCATGGCTTTCCGTAGGTCACACACGTTGATCGTTGGTTATTTTAATCATCCAGAGCTAGACTGGACAGATGGATTCTCTCCAATGGATGAGAATCACCCAGCATCCTTGTTCATGGAGTCTGTGAGAGTCTCCTTCCTAGTCCAGCACGCTACTAAGCCAACCCATTATAGAAGTAAACAGACTCCCAATATTCTAGGCCTGGTGTTTACTAGTGACGAATCGATGTTAGATGAGCTTCGTCACGAGGCTCCATTGGGCAAAAACCATCACCAATCATTGTTTTTCAGTCTAAAGTGCTGTACAGAAAAGACGCCTCGACAGCGTGAGCGTTTGAATTTTGCGAAAGGCGACTATGATAAATTCAGTGAAGCAGTGAATGCAGTGAATATTTCGAACTGTATTAAGGACATGAATGTGGCTGAGTCATGGTTATTTCTCAAGGACATGGTTATGTCTGCAGTTGATGCGTGTGTAAATAAAATTAAGCTTGGTGGAGCCAAAAAAACTCAGTGAATGAACAGTACAGTTCTTGCTAAGCTGAAAACAAAAAAGGAAGCCTACCAGTGTTATTTGCAGACTCGTAGCGATGCTGACTATAACCTATACGCAAGAGCTCGAAATCAAGCTACTGAAAGCTGTCGCGCCGCAGTAAAAACCCTCGCAAAAATATTGCTAAAAATGCAAAAAAATAATCCGAAAGCCTTCTTTTTGTACGCTAGCTCGAAGTGCAAGATAAAGGACGGTATTTCTGATTTGAAAGTAGATCAACGAAAGATATCCTCTGATGCGGGCAGGGCTAACGTTCTTAATCAGTTTTTCAGTAGCGTATTCACTGAACAGGACTTGAACAGTATTCCAGCTATTGAGGAGCGCCCAGTCGGCTCTAAATTAACAAGTTTTGAAATACTAGAAGAAGAGGTTCTCAAGCGCCTTATCGCTGCAAATCCTAACAAGTCATATGGTCCGGACGGCTTCCACCCCAGATTACTCAAAAAGTTAGCAACTGTCCTAGCCGGCCCTTTGACGTCATTTTTTCGAAAAACTTTGAACGAAGGGATCTTGCCGGCTGACTGGAAAGAAGCTCAAGTGACACCATTATTCAAAAAAGTGACAAAAGCTGCCCGGGCAACTATCGCCCTGTCAGTTTGACAATTGTCGTTTGCAAGGTAATGCAATCTGTTGCGTGGGATCGACTGATATATCATTTGACTGCTAATAATCTATCAGACTGTCAACATGGCTTTATTGCCGGGAGATCCTGCATCACTAACCTCTTGTCGACTCTGAACGAATGGACCCGCCTGCTGGGCGAAAGGGAGCCAGTAGATGCAGTGTACCTCGATTTTGCCAAGGCATTTGACAGTGTCCCACATGAGCGGCTGTTGCGTAAATTGCAGTCTTTGGGAATTGACAGCTATGTACTCAATGGATCAGAGATTTTCTAGTAGGGAGGTGACAACGTGTCAGTATTAATGGGTCCGTATCATACTGGGCTTCAGTGCGCAGCGGCGCGCTCGGGCCTGTTTTATTCGTTTCGTTTATAAACGATCTGCCAGAAGCTGTGTCCAGCGTGTGCTCGATGTATGCTGACGACACAAAAATATCATTAAATATGTAATCTAACACGTTACGATTTGGTAGTAGACGATGCGAAACTGAATCGTAATTAAGTATGACCTGAGGGTAGTTCGTATGTTGCTAGGGACAGCCTGTAGATACAATAATTTTATTGATAGTTAGGTTACGTTTTTGTCATTTTGTTTTTGAGTTACTATTACGTGACCTCGTATAGACCCGCCCTGTAACTTGTCATTGCTATGAGATCCTTCACAGAGGTTAGTACTTGCATTATTTATCGTGTTGATCTTCGTGTTGACATAGTGGTGGATTATTTGGTTATATTTAATATTATTATTTATATTAGTTTTTATTTGTGTTATAATCATTTGTTAGAGTTCCGTTAATTCAAGTCCTTAATTTGTATTTATTTGTGTTTTTTCAGCGGGCTCCGAACCCAGAGCATGATGAGGAATTAATAGTCAAGAGCTAGAAAGATACACGGTTTATAGTTTTGTTTTCTTGTATTTATTCTTCTTGGTTATTATAGTTCTTAACTTATCAGTTTTTATTCATCCTTTTTTATTTACGATCATTGGCCAAGTGTTCGGGGTCAGATAATGTTTACTTATTGACTAGTCCCCAACAATGTAGCGGGATCCGAGGATATAGAGGAACAGCGTAAACGATTATATGATATACTTTTAGGATTATAGTTCGGCTTACAGTTTAGGATAATCAGATTATAAGTTGGAGCTTTGACACTGATGTCTTCGGCGTACAGTTGAAGCATGGATAAGTCTAGAGTGTATCTTCTACTCTGACATTAGTTTAGGGTTACTGTCCTGATGGATACGGACAGGAGTAAGGGCTTACATACGACTGTTCTCGGCCCAAGACTGAGTTTCCTGGTCTGGGCAGAGCTCATATAGCTTCGCTAATTGACGTCACCAAGGACGTGACTTGATAAACAGGAAAGACTAATACAAGGAAATGCTTATGAACATATCGCATGTGAAGGAGATTATAATTGGAGCAAACTCCGTTTTAGGCTGTTTGCTTTTAACATGTTGAAAGCTCTATTTGATCTTTTGGATTGTTTCTTCCTCGAATTTAATCGTATCAGTAAAGAAAAAATGAGAAAGCTCGGCGGAAATGATTTCCGCCATCGCCAGCTTTCCTTCCGTTGACCTTGAGCGGCGCCGCGTTGTAGGCGCAGCCTGCATGCTCTCTCAATCGCTGATACGCAACCGCC